GCAGCCCCTTTCAGGCCTCCCGGGGAAGATCCGTCCCCACCCTTGTCCTGTGGGCACCACGACGGGGTCGCAGAAGGAACGACTCCCAGCCCTTCGGTTTCAGGACTGCAGGCGTGACCGCGACACTGCTGCGTGACCACGACGCCAACGCCATGGCAGGGCCAGGGATAGTCTTACCGTGACATTAGCCAACATGACCAGACCAGATCACGTGCAAGTCAAAGCGACACTAAAGCAAATGCCGTCTCTACAAGGCAGCTTCAGCATTTACCACAACCCCCAGCCGCCGAACAGAGCAGCCCGAGCTAAATGGTGCTGGCAAACCCCTCGCCCCGTCCTGTCACTGGGAAAGCAGCAAGCAGCTCTTCCCACACCCCAGAGAGCAGAAAATGGCTCCACAACCCCCCTCCGGCATGAAATATTGGCTGTCGTTGCGATCAATAGCCCTCCAAGCGGGAAAGAAATTGCCCAGGCGCAGATGAACAGCAAGTTCCCACCACCCTGACATGCTTTCCTGCAGGGCTCTGGTTTCTTTCAGCTTGTTAAAGCACCGGTATTTGCCCTGTCAGCCCCTGGTCTCAGTCAGTCTTCCACATCAGGGAAAACAAGGTCTTTCTGCAGCCCTCCCTGCACTGGCCCGAACTTTTCTCTCTGCTGCGGGTGAGAGGAGACAGGAGTGAGCTCAGGAATAGCCTTGGGAAGATGGAGAAGGGAAAATTGGGGAATCAAATGCCAACCCGCAAGGTACCAGGGCAGAAAGCAGAACGTTTGCCAGAGCATCCTCACGCCACAAGCACATCTCCCTCCCCTGGGCACAGAGACCGGCTGGCAGCGCTCCCCAACGCCTCTTTAGTGATGCGAAAGGCACCGGGGAACTTGAGTGTTCGCAATAAAACAGCAACCTGGAGCAGTCGCGCTGCTTGAGCTCTGAAACCATGAACCGACAGGTCCCTTGGATGCCAAAACCTGCCCCAGCGCCTAACCCCTTGTTCTGCAGGGAGAGCTCCCGGCTCCTTGTGCTCCCTAAAGCTGCTGTTGCCAGAGGAAGGATGCAGATGCTGCAAAATCCAGCGCTGGTGGCGGTTTTTCCCACTGAAGAATCGCTCTGGGGAAGAAGCTGGGACGATGTGCCACCCGCTTCAGACCAGAGCAGAAGATCTGGCAATGATGAGATGGGAAGGACTAACACGAGCCCCCGGTGAGCAAAAGCTCCGCCTGCTTCCAAGGATCCCTTCACTCGCAGCGGGAATTTTACAGGATATGGATTTTCTCACCCCAGCGCAGGCAGAGCCGCTACCTTGGGTGGCGGAATAAAAGCGCCGTTAACCCAAGCTGCGGTCAAAAGGGGCGTTCAACCGCACTTTGGCACGGCAACACCCACCGGCGCTG